CCATCCATCCATCCATCCACCCACCCACTCACCCACCCACTCATCCATTCACCCATTCATTCCCAGAGTTTACCATCCGCCCACCCACCCACCCATCCACCCGTTCATTCCTAGAGTTTACCATCCATCCATCCATCCATCCACCCACCCACCCAGTCACCCATTTACCTGCTCGTTCACTTGCAATGCTGGGGATATAGAACAGCTCCTTAGACTCATGTTAGGAGGTTATTCCAATCCTGGGCCACATCCTAGCAGTAGAACTTTCTAACAAATGGGCCTTGGAGGACAGTCAAGGAAATCCTTCCTTGCATTCAAGGCTGCAGTTAGAGGGTGACTGCGTCCAGAAACTTTGGATGAACCTGGGTTTCACTGTCTGACATTAAGCTGGGTGACTTCTCTTTTTTTTTTTTTTTCCTCCCCTAGTTGGTCACCCTCCCTCAGTAGTCCTTTGCTGTCCATGCTGTTTTTCTACAGAGTGCTAAGAGGCATCTGGATTTCAGTCTGGGTGGCAGAGCCACACAGTGGCATTAGAATTGAAGGGCTCCTGTCCCCTGGTACCTGGCAGATGCTCTGAATTGCTGCTGTTGCTGCTGCTGCTGCTGCTGCTGCTGCTGCTGCTGCTGCTGCTGCTGTTTTTATCACCTGAATTCCCTGTTGTTAAGGCCCTGGCATTGCTCACCATGTTTCTCTGTGTGTAGTCTCACGTGTTGTAGATACTTACGAGACTCAAACCCAAACAAATCCCAACAAGTGGGCTCCACAGTCATCGTTCTGTGAGTCCCAGGGGACCGAGCACTGCACACTCACCACAGCCAAGGCTGTTGCTTTTGTTTTGTTCCAACCACACTTGTGACCTGACAAAGAAGACTAAGGAAGAAAAGGGAAAGAAGTAAAACAAAACTTGGGTCACCTCCTCCCCGACGGGAGAACTCCCATGATGGAGACGGAAAGTCCGTCGGGGGAATTCAGGATTTGCGTGGGAGGGAAATTTCCTGCCTGGCGAGGAGAGCAAGAAGTCTGAAAGGAGGTAGCTCTGTTATTGAGTGCGCCAGTGGGATTTGTGCCTTGGTGGATTCTTCATATATTACAGTGAATTTAATTAAATACATTGTGATCCCAATTGAGGGTATTCTAATTAGCTGGGTCAGGAACAAATTATTCTCCCTCCTCCTCCAAATGAAAACATCTCTGCTCTTCTGCCGGGGAAGGCATGTCCTTGGCCGCCTGGCTTGCCCCATGGAGTCCTCTTCTGTGTGGAGCCTCACCTGCTCCTGCTGCCTGGTATTAGGCAGGTTCCCAGGGTGGGACCCTGGGGAGAGGCAGTGCCTCCCCCTGCCCCTGCGAGGAAGACAGAACCTGAACAGCTGGGCCGAGGGGTTGACACACTCACGGCTGGGGAGTTACTGGATGGTGTGCAGGGCCCAGACAGGAATCAGAGTCTGCTGCAGGCCCTGGGTCCTTGTTGACTCCTGGCTGGACAAAAAGAGAAGTAACAGGAGTCAGGACAGGGTTTGTTACATGCAGGTAAGCACCCTGGTTGTAAAAGGAAAAGTGGACATTTGGAAATCTGATGGGAGGGGGTAGTCTGAGTGTGGGTGTGTGTGCGTGTGTGCCCTGTACTATTGTCAGTAAACGGGACTGTGGCTCAGGTCTCCTTGCTTCCTTTTATTCTTTCCTCCATGATTTGTGATGGGTGGCTATTTCCTTTTCCAAAATGGTTCTCCAATGGCAGACAAAAAAAAAAAAAAAAAGAGAGAGAGAGAGAGAGAGAGAGAGAGGCATTTCTGTGGTTTGCAATTTACCAACATGAGATTGTGAGCAGAACAGTTTTAAAATATATTCTTACCACTTTTTTTTTTTTTTTTTTTTTTAAAGCACAAACTCCCAGCATGTTTATTTCATTTCAGGATTTATGCAGCCTGACCATCCAAAGCCCCCAGGGTTTGAGGACAGAGGACAGTTTGACATCTCGTTTCTGTCCAGCCTTTTTTAGGTCTTATCTTTCTCTCTGGCTCAGAGACTTGGAAGGCCCAGCCATCTGGGATAGCACCTTCACCTCTGTGCTAAGATGCTGTGTTTCAAACTCAGTGCATCACTGCAAGGAAGTCCTCTTCCCAGGGGAGCCGTGGGAGTTAAGGCTTCTGGGAGTCTTGCTGGTTGGTGATGCCAGCGAAATCTCTTACCAGATGGAACACTCTGGACCCTTGTTGTTTTCCCTGTTAGCTTTTAGCCACTCGGTTTCAATTGACACTTGAATAAGTGATATTTGGTTAGTCTTTCTGACCTAGGATGGCAATTCTTTGCTCCCAGTTCCAGGTGACACCCTCATTCCCAGCAAGATTCCCCCCTGGGAAATGTAGCTTTTGCCAGGCCCAGGGGAAGAAGTTGGGGAGAATGGCCACCCCAGACCCTCCTCCTCCTCTTCCTCCTCGAGGTGTGGTCCCCACAAAATGTTGTCTCCTTGTGTACCCATTTAGTCTTCTGCTGAGTGTCGTCTTAGAGGAGAGACACTGGAGATAATGAAAAGAAGAAAAGAAAAGAAAAAAAAGAAACCCATATAGCAATTCATCTCCAGGAGGTTTTTATTGTTAGTTGTACTTTCTGTGACATTCCTATGGAGCTCTTGCAGGTTCTTCTGACTCCTGGCTGTGGACTTGCTCCAAGAAAGCTGTTTCTTACAGGGGCTTCATCTCCTCCCCCACCCCCGACCCCAAGACCCCAAGTGCTACATTTGACAGGGTTGAATGTCCCAGAGCAGTGCAGTTGGACTTTCTCACTCTGTGCCTGTGAGGCCCTGTGCATTTGTACCTGCAGGCTGGCCCAGGTTTTGTTTTGTTGTTGTTTGTTGGTTTGTTTTGTTTTTTCTTGCAAAGCCTCAGTTAGTTCTTGCGATGGAGGGCCTCTCTGGTAAATTCACCATGGTGCCAGTACCTTGTTGGTACACTCATATTTCTCCATCTGAAGCGCGTACAGACTTTCTGGATCTTTCTCACTCTCCTGGTGGAGATGAGATGTGAGCGTGAGAGCACAGACGCCTCAGGGCAATGTCATCAAGTAAGATGTGCTCACAGGGCCACTCTCTTTTCCCATCTCAGGAAGTACAGGGTGTTCCGAGAGCTCTGGCTTTGCCTCACCAGCTGGACAAGGAAGCTGTTCCTCCCCTTCCCCACAGGATCAGAAGCCACCATCAAGATATGTACACTGCTCAGGCCTTTTGGCATCAGGAAGGAGACTTCTGTCACAAGGCCAGCCCAGGGCTTTTGCTGTTTGTGTGTTCAGGCTCTGGTGACCAGAGTTGAAAGGTGAAGGAGGAGCACGAGCACGAGGGAAGGCCTATCAGTCACTCGAGCACGGGAGCCCCTCACATCAGTCGCACTTCTTCATCCCTGCTGGTGCTGCCTGTATGGTGTAGGGCCGGCAAGCTGGCGTCTGATTCTTTCTCTGCCAATAGCTGGGTTACTTGGGGGTCAAGCACTTAAGCTTTTTGGACCGTTTGCCTGCTTCGTGTACGCTGAATGGGAAAAGCCCCTCTTCCTGTCAAAACAGTCCAAAGGAAGAAATGTCCTTTCTACAGTAGGAGCAAATCAGTTCCCTGCTCCTAACCACCCACGGTCCTCCATTTCCTCCCAAGAGGTCTGAGAACATGGTGAATTTTGCTCTTGGACGACCTTCAATTCCTGAAGGTGCAGAAGTCTGGCGTCTGTGGCAGCTGCCATTCTTGTGCTTGTGCCTTAACCTACTGTGCTCCACTTCCTGTTGGCTCTCGGGCATCCGTGCTTCGGGATCAGTGTTGTGTCTGCCAAACAAAACAGAAAACGTAACTGGGACCAGTCATCCTGACCAGTGATGAACTAGGTGACCTTGCAATACTGCAACCTGGTTTTGTTCTAGTTTTAAGACATGAGCTCACCATGCAGACCAGGCTGGCCTCGAACCTCTCATCTTCCTGCTTCTCAGCCACCAGGTACTAGGATTATAGGTATGCACCATCATTCCCAGCTAGACTAATTTTAATTTAAAAACTTCTTTTTTCCCAGATGGTCTCATGTAGCCTACTCTTGCCCCACACTCACTATGTAGCCGAGGATGACCTTGAACTTCTGACCCTGCTGCTCCTACCTCCTGAGTGCTAGGATTACAGCTGTGCACCACTACTCCCTAAACTTCCTACTTGCTAGGAAAAGCGCCTACCAACTGAGCCATGTTAGCTCTGTCACTTTCAATACAGATAGGCTTGAGCTGTTTTTATTTATGGAAAGGCCAGACATGCCTTTGACTCTGTATGACTGACCCATACAGAGTACTGACAGGGTGATTGACCTTGAGCTGTCACCAGAGGGGTGTGGGGTGGAGAGTGGGGGAAGTTAGGGGTTGGGGCGTTGGGGTGCGCTTTGTCTGTAATGGTCCGGATCATCTTATTAATGGTCTCTGCAGGTCATAGTATCGGTGTCACTGTTGTTCAACCCCGATGTTTCCAAAAAGTCCACAGGTGTGTCTGTCAGTGGACCTAGCTGTGCTCTGATAAAACTTCATTGATGAAAACAAGACAGTGGGTCAGATTTGGTCTCAGGCCACAATTTGCCCTCCTCCGCTCTAAATAAAGCAGTTCACTCTGGAGTGTGAAAGGGTGAACGCTTTATAAATGTGTAATTCCGGGAAAGCCCTGCTAATGAACACCATTAACAGACACTGCGGAAAGCTACCTGGGAAGGGCCCATGTAGGAGGGACAAGTATGTGTGTGTGTCTGTCTGTCTGTGTGTATCAGCAAGCTATTTAACCCTCAGAGAGCTTCCAGGGAAGAGGACACTGGGAAAAAGGGAAACACCCAGGGGAAGGAGCCTTGGCAACATCCATCATGTCCCCCGAGTGCTCCCTAGTTGACACCCCTCTCACCTCGGCCAGGGCAGGGCAGGAGTGGCCTGTGCCTCGGTGTGCCGCGGCGTCCCTCGGGTGCCCTGACCACGGGAGTGAGTGTCCCTCTCCTTTGTCCCTGCAGCACCTGCAGCAGCACGAGAGCGGCGTGGAGGGCGAGAGCTGCTACTACCACTGCGTCCTGTGCAACTACTCCACCAAGGCCAAGCTCAACCTCATCCAGCACGTGCGCTCCATGAAGCACCAGCGCAGCGAGAGCCTGCGCAAGCTGCAGCGGCTGCAGAAGGGCCTCCCGGAGGAAGACGAAGACCTGGCCCAGATCTTCACCATCCGCAGGTGCCCCTCCACTGACCCAGGTGAGATGCGCCGCGAACAGGGGAGCCCCCCCCCCCCAGGCTGCCACCGAGGGCGGGCGGGCTTAGCGTGCCAGCGTGGCTGCTTCCGTGTCCGTCGCTGGCACCCCAGCCCCTGTGTCCTGGATGGAAGGAGCTCGGATTGGTGCGGTTTTCAGGTGTTCAGCCACAGAAGCAGGGCCACAGCAGGTCTTCCACCCCACCAGCCCTCGAGTTCTTGTGGCGCACACACTCTGGATTCTGTCACTTTCGCACACCGGCCCGGCACATGCTACTTGTGTGTCCTGCCGACCGCTCGTAGTAGCTTGTAGCCCCAAAGTCGGGGTTTCAAAACTGAACTTGAGAGAACGTCAGCTAACACCCATTGCAGGACCCTTAGCTGTATTTGAAAGTGACTTGTCCTGCCGGTACGGGCTTCTGGCTGCTTGTCAATTGTGATCCTGTTCAGGGTGCTGTTTCTTGCCTTCTGCCATCCCATCTATGGAGACCTTTTCTCTATCCCTTTCCCCCAGGTGACGCGCATTCCTAATGGGAACTCATTTGGTAGACTAACTTTTTTATTTTTATTTTTAATATATATATATCTATCTGTATATATGTGTGTGTGTGTATTAAACCTTTAATATAATATATATAATTAATATATATATTAAACCTTTCAAAACAACCAGGAAAGACAGGCCTGGTGGTACTGGCTTGTAATCCTGGCAGTGCCACAACTTCACAAGTTTCTAGGCCAGCCTGGACTAGGCAGTGAAACCCTGTTCCAAAAGCAAATAAGGCCTTCTTCATTCTTGCTCTCTAATGAAATCCTCATGGGTTTTGAAAGGGGAAAAATACCTTTGCTGCTCATCTCCAGCATGTTCCCACCATGCTGTCAGCTGCTCCTCCTGTAAGTAAGCCAGCCCACCAGGGGCGCCAGGGGCCTTCTAGAGACGTCCTGCTGGCCAGTGACAGGGTCATCCGCCCTGTCAGCAAGCCCTCTTCCTTCACTTGCAGGCTGTTTGTTTCTAGGACAGAGAAGGAGGCTGCTTCTCCTGACGCCTGCGGATATACGCTCATGGTTCTTGGTCCTCAGGACACGGGTGGATGTTGGACCCTGGCCCTCAGCGGCCTTAGCCTGCTGGCATGATCACATGTGCTGCAGCGTTCTCCTGGACGTGTCAGTGGTCCCTCCTCCTGGACACAGTGTTTCCCAGAACTCACTGGATTTTTTTTTTTGGGAGGAGTCCTCCATTTTCTATGATGAAGGGACCACATGTGAGCTTTTAGGCCCATCCTTCATCTCCTGCAGCAGCCTCTCAGCCGGTCAGCTTTGAGGGGTGTGGGTCATGAACCTCCAAATCAGGCACGGATTTGAATAGTTTTTCAGAGGTGAAGAATTTACATACACCTTGGGCGGGGGATGGCACAGCCCTCCCCCTACCCCATTCCCCATTCTCCAGGTTGGGACTGTGGTTTAATGTGCTTGTAGCTGCTTCCCTCGTTTTGACCCGTCTCTCTATTTCTCCGAGTGCTCCTACCACCATTTCCTGGACACCGGCTGGTGTTCTGAGCCGCAGCACAAGGGCTGCCCCAGTGAGCTGCTCTGGAAACCCTCCCATTCTAGCCCACCCATATGCCTCCTGCATCCCGTTATGCGAAGACCTCACGCACACAAGCACCATAGAGCTCCCCCACCCTGTAGATGCTGGAACCCACTTCTGCTCCACGTGCTCTCATAACACATGCCACCAACCTACAACACGACACATGCCCTCAAGCACAGCAGTGGCATACATACTGTGTTCACCTCCCCCCCCCCCCATGCCCCAGACTCTCCCCACTCCCACGGGTGCAGTGACGCTTTGTGCGCACACATGGCCACGGACGCTGCCCCTGGCTTCAGCCCCTGTAAGCCCTTTCGCTGTCCTCTCTCCCATTCCCCCTGCAGGCCTCCTCCTCCCATCTCTCTACCTACCTACCTTCAATTAGGATGAAGCAATAATTGGGGCTGATATTAATATTCAGTATTTTCATTATTATAACTCTATAAATATTAATCACAGCTGAGCCTTGTAGAGTTTTATAATTTCATTTACCTTCGTGTACAACTTTTTGTTTTCCCTGCTTTTCTAGGTACTCATGATTAATTCATGGCTTACCTAACACTGCCAGAGCAGGTATTCCCTAATCCCCGAGCGCTCTGTGCTCCGTTTGCCCAGTCAGCTTCATTTCCTCTCAGGGGCACCCCACTAAGCCCCTCCAAAGCCCCGGGTCCACCAGCTCCCCCGTCAGGATCATCCTATGTCTCCTTGGATGCCTTTCTCTTTTGAAGCAAAACCGCCATTCCCGCATGACAGGATGCACTCACAGCCCCGGATGTGAGGATCTCTCCTCTGCTGGGATAGTTCCATTTCTGTGAAAAGCATCTTCTCCCATGACTGGCAGTCCAGGGATGTGCTGTTGGCAGGGGCCAGGGTAATGGCTGTTCCTTGCAGGCCCGGGAAGTGTTGTCTCCTCTTCCCACGTGTTTCCAGGTAGCTGCTTTCCTGGTTGGAGTGTAAGGGTTTCATCTGCGAGGCTCCTGAGCACCTCTGACCCTGTCCCACTATGGGCGTGTACTCTGAGGGGCAACACTGAGAATGGGCCCTTGGGAACACAGTCCTGTCCTAAAAGTCTAAGGTTATTGTGTCCCCTGGCTGTGGGATCCCTGGGCCCACCAGGGTATTTTATTTTTTTTTCATCCTTAGTGTGGTCCTGCCCTGTCCCTTCCCCACTATTGCACTGTGCTATCATTTCACAGGATTTCCTTCGATGTCTTTTTTCACTCTTTAGTTCTCTCTTTCCACTCAGAATTCCCTTTTTATGAGCGAGGTGCCCCAAACTCAATAGCATAGAGCTGCCTTCTCCCTCAGGCCCGTGGAACGGAGTGGACAATCCCCTGCCTTCTAGGTGAGATAGCCCTGCACGACACCCACTCTGGCGTGGCTTTCTCACATGCTGCCTTCTGCCCTTCCCTTTCTTTTATGGAGTCTTAGCCTCGCCACCCTACGTATTCGAGCAACTCGAGTCAGGATGATAGGCCGTCTTTCCGAGTTTCAAAATCCTTTGGCCTCCAGTCATGTTGCTGTTCCGACAGCCCTCTCCCCACTCCCACACACAGGCCTCCTCCCACACACAGGCTCCAGAGCACTTCACCCTCCACAAAGGGGACAGACACATCATTAGGCAATACCCCAACATTAAGAGGAACACAGTTCTGTTTTAGAAAGCCCACATCTCGAAGCGGCAGCCTCCCTCTTTCCGGGGGCCCGCTCTGACAAACTTGAAAGAATGTCTTTAAGAAGAGGGACATTTGGGGCACGATAGGCCTCAGATATTTAAGATTGTCGGCTTCAGATTTGTAAACATGGATGTTGTCAGCACTTCCTGTCCTGTCCTCATTAAGAGAAAGATCAGGACGTGACCCACAGCGTTAGGAAGCCTCTGAGCCCCTTTCAGGTCCTCGCTCACCCCAGCCACAAGCCAGACGGTCCCATTAGTTGGTCCGGCTGCCTGGAGGCTGTGGTGCTGGCCTCCCATGACCTGGCTCAGCTCTGTAGTTCTGTCTCCTTTCTTCTGTCCTGTGGTCCGTGTCCCACAGAGCCGCACGAAGAAGCCTTCAGCAGTCAGTTTCTTTCCTTTGTAAGCCCCTCATCACAGACATCTTCTACAGTGGTCAGGACTCCCCCTTGCCTGCAAGGGCTGCAGGGCTGAACTCAGGAGTGACTTCCTCCGCAGAGATGACATTTCTTCCCAGTCTGTCTGTTGGGTAGCCCACCCATCCGCTGGTCAGAACCTGTTGGTTCAAGAAAGGAGCGGGCATGCAGGAATGTGTGAAGACTTGTCCTCATCCTTTAGAACAGTCTGATAATAGTTGGGATTGACCCCTGCTGTGATGGCACCATGGCCCACAGAGGTCTCAGCATGAGATTTTGCTCATGCAGGACCCCTGTCACAGGGTGGAGCTTGGTGGGCCGCTGTTTCCCAGGTGGCCCTGCTTCTCTCTGGTGTCTTAACCTTAAGTCAGCAGGCCTGCGGGGCTTTCCAGTCAGTGAGCTCTATTTCTGAGATAAAGTCTCTAGGAAACCCTGACAGGCCCAGAATTCACTGTGTAGACAAGGCAGGCATTGGGCCTACAGCAGTCCTCCTGCCTCTGCTTCTTAAATGCTGGGCTTGCAGACATACACCAGGCACGGCAAACTGTCTGCTGGAGAGGGAGTCCAGGATCACGCAGGCTGGCCTCAGCCTTGCTTGGTTGCCGAGGCTGGTCTTGTACACACTGTCTTCCTCCCGTTCACTTCTGAGCTTTGGCCTTACAGCTGTGTATCACACCTGGCTCCAAGTCCTGTGTTACATTCTTTCAAACCTCACTTCAAAGTGAAAACAGACACATACCTTGTACTCACACACGTGTGCCCCCACACATACACACATAAACACATACACATACACACATCTCACCTACACAGACACCACACACACGCACACATACACACACAGCACACACACATCACTTACACTCACCTCAGCTCCACACAAATGCACACACCACATACAGACACGTACCACACACGTGCACCACATAGACGCCACACAGCACACATACAAACCACACGCACATATACCACAGGTACACACATATCTCACACACACACACACACACACACACACACACACACACACACACACCCCACAGCGCATTGGGGATAAAACTCGCGGTTAGAATACTTGCCTGACATGAACAAAGTTCTGAATTTGGTCTCCTACTGGGTGAGTGGCAACCTGCCTCCCAGGTATGGCCATTTTCCCATTCCCTTAGAAATCTTTGTTTCTACCTGGAGTTGTGGTTATCAGCTTAAGCGTTTTATTTGTGTTTGTTTTTGTTTTTCTAGAAGAACAACTGGCCTCTTGATCTGCCTGGGCTTTGGTCTTTTCATTTCACGTCTGTCTGCAGGCAGGAGCAGGAAGCCATTATCATG